CTGCCCCCTCCTCATAGAGCCCCTCAAACTTGCACAGCCAGGGGGACACGGCAGTCAGGGTTCCCTGTGCCTTGGGGAAGGTACAGTTGAGAAGAGGGATCCCCAGTGCCTGGCACCTGGTGATGCCCCCAGGCAGACCAGCCAGTGTCCCTGCTGCTCCTGGGCATCCTGAAGGAATCACTCAGCCCAGTCTGCAATCAGCGAGATGTGGACCGTCCCCAGGCCCCTCAGCTCTGTGCTGGCGTGGTCCCTGTGGTATTAAAGATGCTCCTATGTGTCTGCATGGGAGGAAGCAAGGCTCCATCATCCCACCCTGGTGGCACTGGGCTCATTGCTGATCACGGCCAATATCCTGCCACAAAGTCCCTGGATCCACGGTGGCACAGGGCATTGCCTTTTGGGTGTCTCCATGCCCTGCCTTGTCCCTGCTCCCTGTGCCTCTGTGCCACCTCATCTGTCTGTCCCTGGTTCCCAGTGTCATCCCCAGCTGCTCCCATGCTCACGGCGTGCAGTGGGGGACAGGCTGGTGCAGAGGGGCACAGAGTGCTGGGGGTTTTGGGAGGGTCTGGCTCCTGGGAAGCCTCCATCCTCCTCCTGGGAGCAGGGAGATGCTGTGCAGCTGTGGCTGCAGCCCGACCTTCCCCGGAGCAGTTGCCCACTCTCCCCGCAGCAAATCACTCCAGCTTCGTGCCGGCAGCGGGTGAGGTTTGCCCAGGGCCTGGCGAGCTCCACGGAGGCTGCTAAACGGGTTTTATGGTGGGATTTAGGGACTTTTCTGCTGGGTAATTGATTTGCCCAGCCAGTAAAAGATCAAGGCAGGGGCTCAGCCGGTGGCTCCAGCATCTGCCCTCCAAGCGAGCCAGGGCACGGGTGGCTCAGGGCACGGCCAGGGCCAGCGGTCTGCGGTGCCACGATGCACAGCGTGGGGTGCCACAGCCCCACAGCCATCGGGACAGTGCTGTGGTTCCGTCCAGGAGCTCCCGTGCAGCACACCCCCACTCCTGCATCCTCGCATCCCCCTCCCCAACCCCACCACAAAACAGCCCCTAAAGGAGACAAAAGGGGCTGTTTGGGGACCTGCCACCTGCTAGTCCCCATCCTACAATACCGCAGTAAAGAGGCACCAAACAAAGGCCTTAAAATCCTAAAGGGGCCCATTCATTAGGGTGACAAAGGGGGAAAGAACTACATTATCATAATTAATCCCGGTGCTGGCGGTGGGTGGCAGGGCTCTCTGTCTTCCAAGGTGGTGTGGGGACGGCCGGTGTCACCACGTCCACACGCTATTGTGCGCCGTGGCCTTGCGGGGCTTAGGCGGGTTTTAAGCTCTGTAAACACCACAGGACCCCCGCCACGGCTACCGGGGATGCCGTCCTTCCCCACAGCCCCTCCCCAGCCCCGGCTGTTTGTCTTCTTGCTTCAGACCCCCCCAAAATCCCAGGGCTGGGATGGGTCCACTGTGCCCTCTCTCAGTGCACCTGCCCCCAGGATTGCTGGGCAGTGGGGAAGAGCCCAGACCCCCAGGTCCTGCTGGTGGTGCTGGGTTGGAGGTTCACTGTCCGTATCCTGCTTGTATTTTCCATGGAGAGTTACCCCAGGTGTGACATGGCAGGAACTGTTCAGGCTTTCCCTGGCCTCCAAGATGGGATTTTATCCCTCCTCTGCTATCTCATCCCTATCTGGGGGAATGAGGTGGACTCTGACTTGGGGACCAGCTGTTGGTTGTTCCCTGCTGTTAGAAAGGCACAGGGAAACTGAGGCACAGTGTGGTACACAAGAGATGGAGGGGCAGTTTGAAGGGATGTTAATGCCCTATCTCTAATCCCCTCTGGTGGATGCTGCCTCCCTTCTTCATCCCTTGGGACACAGCATTCCTCGGGAAGCACCTGGTATTGGCTGAGGAAGCAATGGCGCAGGGGACACACTGACACTGCCTGTCCCTCTGTGGGGACCTCCAGGCACCCCCAGCTCTCTGGCCACTCCAATGGGGTCCCAGCACTGGGTGCTGTGCAACCTTGGGGTCCCTGAGAGCCTGTGCCTGGCTCTGGGCCGTGGCCAGAGGGCTGTGCTGGTGGTTGGGAGAACACCATCTGGTTTCCAACTAGCGCCCGGCGCTGGCTCCCGGCAGAGGAGTTGCTGCTGCGGCGGCGGCTGTTTACAACGTGCAGAGGCTCTGGCATGTCCCTGCCAAGTCCCCTCTGCTTCTCCCCCCGGCCATGGGGCTCTGAGGCTGCACGATGGCCATGCAAAGCCCAGTTCCACGCCCCAGCCCCTGCCCAGTCTCTGCTTGCCCAGAGGATGCCGCTGCCCGCCGAGGCCGTTGTCCTGGGCTGCCCTTCCTGAGGAGTGCCCACTGTGGCGGGGCTCCTGCCGCGGGGATTTTCCCATCCCCTTTGCTTGACAGGGTGGGACACGCAGTGTGGGGACAGGGTGGACTCCCTGGACACGCCATCCTCTCTGTGGGTGCTCCGTGGGTGCGGTGCCCTGTGCTTCCCAGCTCCCACCGCATCCCACCAGCTCACCCTGGCATCTCCCTGTGGCAGGGGCGAGGGTGGGCAGCGCCCCAGGGTGGCTCCAGCGTGGGGCTCCCGCCTCGCACCCACGGCTCCCGCAGCCACCAGTGCCACAGAGACACTGCGCAGGGTGGGGGCTGCGCGGAGCCATTTGCCTTTAATTGAATTTATTTGTTACAACCCCAAACAATGTAAAGCAGGCTTCTCCCAGGCTCCAGCTGCCTGCCTGCCCATTAAAATACCATCTAGAACAGCAAATCCCCCCTCCCGCCTTGATATAAAACAGCCGGTCAGCAAGAAGCAGCAAACGAAGTCTCCCTGTGTGTGAGATGATCCCCTGCTCCCCATCCCGCTCCCCCAAGGCCAGTGGCCTTCAGGGCTCCCAGTTCCCTTCAAGTGGCTCCAAGGGAAATAAGTGCCCTGCAGGGAGACCCAAAGCCCATCTCTGCGGCGTCAAGTCAGGGCAGGCTGAGCCCCATCCAGCCCGCAGGCATTTTCCAGTTGGATTTTCAATCTTTGTTGGTGTGGCAGGATCTGGCCCTGTCACTGGTATTTTCAGCACCCTCTGCAAAGCTTGGGATCCCCAAACTGGCTGCCCTCCTGCAGAGCCCTATAGCCTCCTACTTGGGGTACAGGTCACCATGCCGTGACAGTGCCAGCTGCTGCCAGGGCAGCAGGTCCTGGGGGGCAGCTGGTCCCTGGGGACCATGGAGGCAGTGAGTGGGCAGCAGAACGGGGGTGCATGGTGCAGAGCAGGCAGGGGTGCCAGGGGTGATCCTGTCCTGTGTGGTGCTCCTTTGGCACAGGAGCCTGGTGCCAGCGTGGGTGAGCCAGGATGGGGTCGTGGAAGCTGGTCCTGCAGCACCGGGAGCCCAGGTCCCAGGCAAGCCCTTGCTGCCCTGGGATGGGGCAAATCCAGCTCATCCCCAGGCCCTGTCAGACAGTGAGCGGGGCTCCGTGGACCATCCTATGAGTTTTCCGAGGACACTGATGACATTTCCCGGTCTGCAGGGCTGTGGTGGGAGAGCCCCAGGTGGAAACAAATGATGACAGACAGGGAGCTGATGGAGAATGTGGGCTGGGGGAACCAGCAGTGCCGGAGAAGAGGACAACAACTTACTTTTAAAAATGAAGTTGATAAAAAGCCACAGCTGCCCAGCGGTAGTGCGGGTCCACCGGGAAAGGGAATGGTGGAGCTGTTAATAGCAATCAGGCAGCAGAAGTGCTGAATAGCCGTTTCCCTTCTGTATTTGGGGACACGCCAGATGCTACAGGCCTATCGCTGGACGAGGGAGAAACCCTTTACGTGCCGCTAAGGCCCAGGAGAGCTCGGCAGCAGCAGGCCTGGCTGGCGGGGGCTGAGACCAGGGGACGTGAAGGAACTGACCCACGTTTATTTACCAGTGCTTCCCCCATTTTTGGCCAGTAAGGAGACACCAGGGTGAGCATCACTGTCATCACTCCAAAGGAGTGAGGTGGGGAGTGGGGATGGGGATGCACATGGGATGGGTGCTGCTCCACGTGGGTTTACTGGCTTCCCTGGAGGACTTCAGCAGCTCCTTGGGACACTGTTCCTGGTGGGAACAGCACCAGGTCTGTCCAGTAAAGACCTAAGAAGGGTGTGAAATGAGCAGAGAAACAATTCCAGAAATTGTCGGTGGCATTGACGCCTTGCCCTTCTGCCAAACCTCTGCCCCATGGATGGGGTTTCTGTGCCCCACTGCCTCCACCTCTGGAATGCTGGGCTTGGCTCCCCATGGCCGGGGATGAGGCAGCCTTTGAGGGCACACCCAAAGAGTGGGGTGTGTTCCTGCCCCCCACTATAGCCCTGGGGGGAAATCTGGCCTTTGTGGAGAGCAGCTGGCAGGGGTGGGTGGACACCCTGCTTGTGGTGGGAGGATGATTTGATCTTGGGAACAGGCACTGGTGGGGATACCTGGTCCTTTGTGGAAGGACATCCAACTCTTGAAGGAGAGATTCCCATCCCTTGAGACGGCTATAGGGGAGATGCACAGCTTCTAGGAGGGTATTGCCTATCCTTTGGGATGTTTATGTGGGGCCTGCCAAGCCCTTGGGTGGTGGACATAGTGGGATACCAATCCTTCAGGAGGGCTGCCCTGTCCTTTGGGAAGTGGTTGTGAGAAGATGCCTGGCCCTGGAGGGGATATCTGGCCCTTGGTGTGGCTATAGGAGGAGGTCTGTCCCACACTGGGGTGAGGGAGTCATGGGGGAATGCCTGGACCAAGGAGGGTGGCTGCAAGGTGTGCCCATTCTCGCAGAGAGGCTATGGGTGCAACACCCTGCTTTGGCCACCCTTGGGAGAGGGATGCCCATCCCGTGGGGCTTGCCCAGCTCCAGAGGGCTGCCTACCCTTGCAGGGTAGCTGTGGGAGATGGATGGCACGTGTGGGGGTGCCCATCCTTGTGGGAAAACATGTGGGGTGGCTTGGGGGCGCTTACAGGGGGACGCCCATCCTTGTGGGAAAACATGTGGGGTGGCTTGGGGGGCGCTTACAGGGGGACGCCCATCCCCGGGAGTGTCTGTGGAGGGCCGCCGGTGGCGGGGCGGGAGGCGGAGGGGGTGCGGCCCGGGGCGCGGGCTGTGGCGGTGCCCCTGGTGCAGCCGCCGCGCTCTCCCCCGCGGCGGGGCCGGTGCGGTGCGGGGCGGTGCGGGGGGGAGCGCGGTGTGTGGCCGCCGGCGGCGGGCGCGCCGTTGCTTAGCAGCGGCGATGGGCGCTGCCAGGCGGCGGCGGCCAATGGGAGCGGCGGCGGCGGCGCGGCCTCGGCGCCCCCGCCCCCGCCTCCCTTTAGAGGCGCGGCGGGCGGCCGGCGGCGCACACACAGCCCTCCATCCGGCACCGGCACCGGCACCGGCACGGCCCCGCCGCGCGCATGGGGGCCGCCGCCGCGCTCGGCCCCACATAACGGGGTGCCCAGCCCCGCCAGCCGCCCCGCCATGCCGGCCGAGCCCCCGCGCCGCGCCGCCGCCGCTCCGCGCCGCCCGCCGCAAGCCGCTGCCCGAGGTGAGTGAGGGGCGAGCATCGCCCGCTCTCGCGGGGGGCTCCGGGCCGGGGAGGGGAGTTCGCGGAGCGCGGAGGAGCCCGGGGAGCGCTGGGCGGCTGCGGGGACCCCGTTGTTCCCCTGCTCGGGGAGCTCCGGCTCTGGCGGTCCCGATCCGCGGCCAACGGAGCGCGGCCGCCGCGGGCATCCCGCCCCGCCGCGAGTCCCCTTGCCCGGGCAAGGGCTCCCCGTCTCCTCTGCCGGGCTGACCCCATCTCGCCCCTTCCGCAGGGCAGGGCCGTGGGCCAGAGGACTCCGCTGTGGCTGCGGGCCCGCTTTCAGGCGCTGCTCTTCGCCCTGGGCTGCCGGATCCAGCGGCACTGCGGGAAGGTGCTCTTCGTGGGGCTGCTGGTGTTCGGGGCGCTGGCCGTGGGACTACGGGTGGCCTCCATCGAGACCGACATCGAGCACCTCTGGGTGGAAGGTAAGCGCGGCCCCGCGGGCTCGGCCGCCCATGGGAACGGTCCCGGTCCCGCTCCCGGCCGCGGCTTTGTCCCCCTTCGCGCAGCGCGGAGGTGCGGGGCCGGTCGGGAGGCAGGTGACAGCGCGGGAGCGGGGCGGGAGGAGGAGGAGGATGAGGATGCCGCCGGCGGGCGTCCCACCAGCGGGGCCGCGGAGCACGGGGCCGTGGGTGCCCACGAATGGGGTCCCGTCCGCGCGGGCGCTCGGGCTGTGCCTTGCGCGGGTACGCGGTGCTGAGTTGCAAAGGGACCTCCACGCGTGTCCCGACGGGGGTCCCCACGCGAAGGTGCGGACACGTGCGGCGGGGACGGTGCGTGGACACCCCCTTCCCGGTGGGAAGAACCCTCGCGTGTGACTGGAGCCCCGCACCGGGGCAGAGCCGGCGCCGCGGAGCCGCCAGTCCCGGCCCGGGACCCCTGCCCGGGGGGGGGTGTACGGAGGCGCGGGCAGGGTCAGGCAGGAGCAAATCCCCGTTTCCGAGTGGAAGCGGCTGATCCCCCCTCCTTTGTTATTAATAACTCCAGCGTGGATTTTCTCTCCCCGATCCCTGCAGCCCCGCTTCACGGGTCTGGGATTTGCTTTTCCTGCGCCTCCCTTCGGCTTTGGTGGGGGGGAGCCCCCGAGGGGGTGGGGAGCACCCCGACTCGCACCCCCCGTCCCCACGGCCGGGCGCGGCGGCCCCCGGGCGGGGTCCCCGCGGGGTGCTGTGCAGGGGCAGATGTTGCTCAGCGGAGGGGTGTCAGCCATCTTTGTGCGGGAGCGCTGCCTCCTCCCCCACGCCCCGCTCCCTGTGTGGTCCTCAGCTACTCTTGGATTTGGTTCAACAATAGAAGCAACTTTGCTCTCCCACCCCCTTTTTTTTTTTTTTTTTTTTTTTTTTTTTTTTTTTTTAATTTAAAAAAAAAAAAAAAGGGCTCTGCGCTCCCTGGCTGCTTGCACACAGATGCACGCACGCACCCTTGCCCAGGAATGCCCGAGTGTCCCACCTGCTCCCCACTCCCCAGGGGTGTTTGTACCCCCTCCCCACATCCCGTCTCCATCACCCCTTTCCTCTGCAACACGTAGCAGAGAAATCCAGTGATACCTCCCGGTCCAACCAGAGCCTGAGCAGTGGCTGCCGAAGGAGGGATGCGCTCCCTCTGTGGTTCCCTTACTCTGGGTCGTGGCTCCAGCTCCATCGAAGTTTTATTGTGCTTTTGGGGTAGCAGGGAGTCAGCGTTTCGTGAAACTGTGGCCAGGAAAGCGGCTGTGGTTGTTGCTGTTAGGGGGAATGGGACTTGCGGCACGTTGGGGTGGAGAGCAGGATGGGGAAGGGGCCAAGCCTGGGGACAGCTGGAAGCGCCCAGAAACCCAGCTTTTCCTGTGCCCCACCGTGCTTCCCTGCTCGCATGGGTACGGCCAGGAGCGACCGCGGCTGCTTTTGGGGGATTTCCCCCACACTGCGGTCTGGCTGTAATGCGGGTGCCGGGGGCCTCTCTCAGGAACCTTCTCTTTCTCGTGGCTTCTCATCTTCTTCAGTGTCAGGAGCTGGATTTAATTTTTTTTTTTTTTTTTTCTTTTACTCCATGGTGAAACATGGACAACACTGACCTGGGGTGTCCTGCCCCTTGCTGGGTGATGGCTGTGCTGGGGTCTGCGTGCAGCCCCTGCTCTGTCTGTGGTGCCCGGGTGAGGATGGCGTGCCACGGTGAGAGTGCTACTCAGGGCCCCGCCTCGTCCTTCCTGGGAGGGCTCTTCCCCCGGGAGTGTGCACTTGGGGCAGACCCCTCCGTGCCTTGCTCCTGGGTGGCACAGCCCCAGCGTCCTCAGGCGTTGGCATGACCTGCGACCACCAAGGACGATGTGACTGAGGTGGCTTTAGTCCCACGGGGTCCTTGGCAAGCATGCATGGGTCAGGATGTGGAAGGAAGGTTTGCAGTGGCACTTTCAGTCTTGTGTATCAGCTGTGGGGCTGCCTCCCTTCCCCGTAATTATCCATGGGTCCTTACCTCGCTGCTGGCCTTGGCTTCTGCATTTTCGGGCAAGACCAAAGCATCCCCTGACTGTACCCAGCCCTGATCACTGCACCCCATCCTGCTGGTGTGGGGTTGAGCATTATGGGGGGGACAGATGGGCCTGGGCTGCCCCTGGAGAGCAGGACACAGTTTCCCAGGCTATGGTTGGATCCAGAGTACATGAAGTTGATTTGGGATTTTCTCAGCCACTACTTTCTCAAGTTCCCATGTGTGTGGTGGGGTGGTTGATGTGTGTGTGCCTCTGCAGTGAGCCTGGTACTGCTATGCCAGCCTGAAGCAGCGCAGTTCTCGCTCCTGGGCTGGCAAAGTTGGTGCCCCATCAGCTTGATTCCAAAGCTTTGGGATCCCCAGGGTGCTGGGGCCTCTAGCTCTTGTGCTCTCTGGGTGTGTGAGTTGATGTTTATAGGAACATGATCCATCCCAGCCCCAAGGCAGCGCTGCGGGGTGTCTAAGAGATCATGTGTGTGTGCAGGGAATACTGGGCCCAGCATCCTAGCCCAGGAGGTCCCAGCTCGGAGGCAGAGTGGTTTAGGGTTCCATGAAGCCTCTGCCTCACATGAGGTCCCAGTACTGCCAGAGCAGAGCGTGACCCTGTGCTGGGTTGTCCCCACTGCAGGCTGAGCTCAACCCTCTGGGAGCTGGGCTCCTGGTGAGTAGGGGAGGGAAGGGAGCTGCTTCCCATGGGGGCATGGCACTGCTGTCCCATCTCCCTCCTCCCCAAACACAGGGTAGGGTGGACAGCCCTGCTTTGGCCCCATGGCTGGGGTCAGCATTGGGGCCATGCTGACGGTATGTCCTCCTGAGCCTGGGCTGTGACCCTGGCCACTCTAGGGAAGCGTAGGGTCCCCTATCCCAATTCTGGGAATGTTCTTAGCTCTGGGGGCTATCTGGGGGGGTTCTTGCGGTGTTCTGGGGTTATGCCTGACCTGCATCCCTATTTGGGAGATGGAAGGAGGCCGTGTCACCCCATAAATTGGACTCGACTGTGGAAATGTTCAATTAGGCTCCTCCGAAGCAATTAGCCACTCGGAGGCTTTGAAACCCCGGCTAGCGGTGAGTGTTGAGTTACCTCTAGACACCTGGCAGCTGTTCCCAGCTCTCCCAGGGCGTCTGTAGGGCCAAGGGGCCGGGGCAGCGAGCTCTGGGCAGGCAGAGCCCTGGGTGGTGAATGGGTCTGCCTGATTTATAGCGCTGAGGGCTGGTTCAAAGGAAGGCCGGGTTAATTCCTAACCGGAACAGCCGAGCGCCCCGCACAGCCGTCGCGCTCTCAAAGAGCTGCTGAGTCTCCCTGGAGAAGGCCCTGTCCCTTTCCTGGAGGGGTCAGGGACACCCCGAATGTGCTGGTGGGAAGAAATAGGATGTATCTTGTGGCGGTGAGGGGAATTTGCTACCTTGTTCCCAGCTTGGGGCATGAAGCGGAGACACCCCCAACCCCCTTGGCGGTAGCTTTTGCCCTTCCTTGACCTCTGCAGCAGTACCTGGCACAGGGTATCTCCTCCCTGGCACCCAGGACAGGGCTAGGATGCAGCCTGAGGCTCCCCACATGGCAGGGCAAACGGGAGAGGAGACCCTGACTGACTCTCTTTGCAGAGAGAGGGGCATAGAGGATGGGAAAGCCCAACAGGAAGCCAGGGATGGGGTTTGAGTGCCCTCCCCACCATCTGTGTGGCCCTTCTTCCCAGCCCATCCCCACTGTGCGTGGTGTGTCCCATGGAGGGGTGTGGGGCAGCAGCAGTGTGGGTGAGTGGGATGCCATGGCCGTTCCTGGGTGGGCACACAGAGAGGTGGGTGGTCTCGTTGCTGCCAGCGGGTGGGTTTGTGGGGTGGGATGTTTGTGCAGGGGCTGATAAAAGAGCGGGTGAATCTGGGGAGCTGTGTGGGGCTGGTGCTAACAGCATGGGGGGCTCTGATGGCAGCCTGTCCCTGTGTCCGGGGCAGCAAGATGCCTGCCGGGATCCAGCTGGAGCCAGCCTCACTCCTAAGGGGCGGCTCCTGGACTGCCACGTCCCTGCTCTGTCCCTAGATGGGTGTCCTGGGGTGACAGGGTCCCTGCTTCTGTCGGGCTGTGGTGACACAGGTATTGCTCCTTAGAAAGGGAAGGGACAGCCCAGTGTCCCTGGGGTCCCTCTTGCCTGACCTGGTGGGATTTTTCCTTCAGGACCTTGGTGTCCTCTCTGTTTGCAGGGTTTTTGTGTCCTTGGGGACCCTCTGCCCCCATCCCCTGGGGGCTTGGAGGAGTGAGGGGCAGCTGGGGCACTGCTGCCATGAAGTGCTGAAGTCCCTGTTATCCCGAAAACCTGCCTGCCTGGCTCTCCCCTTTGCTCCAGAGTCCCCTCTGGCTCTGAAAGAACCTTTCTTCTTGGGGAAGGGGGGTAGAAGGGAGGGGAAGGGGGGCTTCTGCGTGAGCCTGAAGGTGGGGTGCAGGCAGTTCACCTTTATTTATTTATCTTTTGGAGGTGAGTGAGAAACCTCTTGCTCTTCCTTTTCCCTTCTTTGACAGCTTGGTCACCTTTTTTTGGGTTGGAAAATTTTGCTAATTAACCCAAAGAGACTGGAAGACTCTTTACAGATGGCTGTGGCTTATCTACCCCTATCCATTTTGTTTTGCTTTTCAACTTATATATATTTTTTTTATTTCCTAGAAAGTGGGTATTTTCTTTTTCCTTTTTTTTTTTTTTCCCCCAACTTGGACATATCTACGGACTTAGGGAAGGGGCTTTTTTTTTTTTTTTTTTTTTTTTTTTTTTGTGTTTTAAATGTTATTTGGCGGCTGGGAGGGGGCAGCGCCAGGGCCCAAGAAGAGGGTTTTATTATCTGCCTCTCCCTCGGGCCTGGAAAAGTGGTCTGAGTTCAAAAAATTCATTTCTTGCCTGAATGAAGCCAGCAATGTGGAAAAATTTCACCATTCAGAGGGGGATGAATGTATGTTTCAACCACACATTAAGTGACATTAGCAAGCAGTGGAGTGCCTAATGTGGCCATTTTTCACAGCAGCCAACAGAGGGGGTGATTAGCATAATTAGTACAGGCAGCCCTATACATATGGAAATGGCAAATGCCTAAATGCCAACACCAGTGGAAATTTATGTCAATGCTGACAGGAGTCTTAGCGGTGAATAGTTCCCAACTGAATCCCTCTCCCCCCCCCCCTCTTTTTTTTTCCCCCTCTCTCTTTTTCGGGGGTCGTGCTGTCCCCTCGGAGCTGGCCGGGGCGGTGCGAGCTCCCGGCGTCCCCCCTCCCTGCGCTGGGAACCGCCGCCCCGCGATTTGGGGTAATAAAGACATTAATTTAGCTTTGCCGTTAAACAAAAGAGTTTGGCCGGGGCCGGCGGCTGGGGAGCTGGCCCCAAACGGACCCTTTCAGCCGCTGGCTTTTTGAAGGCGTCCCCCTCTTCTGCCGCCCCTCTTGACTTAGCTGGGGAGCCCCTCTGGTGGGGCTGGGTTTAGTCGGAGGTGCCAGGGCAGGGCCGAGCCCTCGTTCATCCCTCAGTGCTGCTGGGGACACCCATCTGCCACCCAGCTGCCCCCCTTCCCCGGGACCAGCCGTGGGGTGAATGGGGCTGGGAGGACTTGTTTTGACAGGACGGGGCCGCCGGGCTTTTGGCGAGGCCGGCGGTAGCGGCCGGGACAGGTAAAAATGGCTCTTTCAGCGTGCCCTGGGCGAGACTTCCTCCAGAGCAGCATGGGTCCTTTCACTGCCTCCCTAATCCAGCTAATCCGCCCCACAACACTTTGAAGGTGGCCTCCGGTTTGCACGCTGCTCAGCACGGGAAGCTGCTGCTGCCGAGGGATGCTTGGGGCGGTGCCTCGGGACCCCATCCCACCGGGATGCGGGGTAGTGCTTGAGTTGCAGGGTGGTGCTGGCATCCCTCTGATGCCCCCGGGGCTCTAATCACCCAGGGTGGGCACATCCACCGGCGGGATGCGCTCAGTCTGTGCCGAGGGATGGCTCACGGGCCAGTGTTTGCCCCTGCGGGTGCCCCTTGTAGCATTGTAGCAGAGTGGGGTCCCCATGGGGATGGCTTTTCCCAGGGGATCTCAGCATGGCTCAGCTGTGCACTTGAGAGGAGGTTTCCAACTCTAGCATTGGGATGTTGTGCTGTGGAAAGGGGGCTGCTCACCAAGGGACCTCCCCCTTACTGCCCCCAGCTCTTCCCTTGCACAGCTGGAGCTGGGGTCAGGGCTTCAGCATCCCCTGAGCATCAGCTGAATCTGGGACTCACCACATTAGTTGCCACATCTCGTAGCCCCATTACAGCAGGCAGGACAGGGCCTGATTTTTGGGGGTCAAGTGAGGATGTGTACCTGGGCGTGCTCTCTTCCTCCTATCCTGTCCCACCCAGGTCACCCACGCAGTGGTGACAGCTGCTGGCAGTGCCTGGGTCCCATCTGCAGTGTGGTGACACTGCTGTTGACCATAGCGTGCACGCACCCTGGGGGGACGCAGAGTGGCCCTTGCAGCAGCATGCACCTCCTGGGAGCACACCAGTGCCTCTCTGTGGCCCTCAGCACCTCCCACATCCCTCCCTCGTCTTCACCCTTGCCAGGCAGGGAGGGCTCAGTGTGGGGCTGGCAGCCTGCCCCGACCCACTGCCCTCCCACTGCCACCCGGACACGCTGCCCTGGCACGCTCAGCATGCTACCCCCCACCCTTGGGTGCCTGGAGACAGGGCTTTGCCCACCTACTGCCCTGGGAAAGCTTGGTGGAATGTCCCCTTGCGGTCACTTACAGGTGGGGTGGCTGCATGGGGGCCAGCCCCTGTGCTGGGGGCTTTGCAGCTGTGCTTATCTGACCCCAAACCCACTGGGTTGAGTCTGGGAGCTTCTGGCAGCCCCTGGGAGGATGTGGGGTGAGCTGGGGTCAGACCCCTTCCTGGTCGGGCGGGGGCAGCACAAGGGCTGGGGATCTGCAGTGGCTGGAGCAGCCGGGGGCACAAGCCAGTCCCACTGGGCAAGGGTGAGCTGGCTGTAGTGCTGTAGCTGTGGGTCCTGTGCCAGGAGGGTTTGGGGAGCAGTGGCAGGGGGGTGGCTCAGGCAGGGTGGCCAGGAAGGGGGCAGGGAGGCTCCTGCCTTGCTCTGTAATTTTGTGGCGGATGCTGTAATTATGGGGAGGGCTCCCCCGGCACGGCCCGCAGAGGGAGGCAGCCGCACACGCAGCCGTCCTCGCTGCCAGGGACCCTGTCCCCTCCTTGGCACTCGTACCCTCCCTGCTTGGGCACGGCAGGAGCCTGCTCTGCACCCCTCGTGTTTGGAGTGCTAGTGGGCATGGGGTCCCAATCCACCCTCCAGCCCACACTGCTGTGAGCCTGCACCCCACAACACCCCAGCATGAAACCCCCAGCCAGTGGTACCCAGGAGTGGGGTGCCCACCCCACAGAGGATGCTCATGCAAGGCATGACTGCCCTGGAGGACTGTCCTGCCCCCAGGCCCTACTGTGAGATTTTGGGGGGATGTGAGGGTCCAGGGGGGGTTGAAGCCAAGCCCTGCCGGGGAGCAGAGCAGGCTGTTAGTAAGCAGGACCCGGACGCCTGATTGGAACCAGAGAGCCCTTCGCATGAAAAAGCCAAGGGCTCCCTTTGTTAATTGGAATTAAAAAACAAAACCAAAAAAACAAAACCAAACAACAACAACCAAAAAAAAAAAAAAAAAAAGGAAGAATTTACATACAGTTCCTCATTAACGTGCTCATTGTTGGTATTGGGGTGCCCCCCCAGCCTCCTCCCCGGCCGGGGGGCTGCGTGGGGCGTCTCGCCCCGCTCCCGGGCTGGCCGGCCGGCGGGCGCGCGCCCGTTTGAAGTGTCCTTGGCAGCCCTGTGTGCGCTGCCTTGTCTTTTCATGTTGCTCTTTGGTTAATTAGGGTGTTGGAATTTGAGGCTTCCTCACGGCCTTTGAAGCTTGCTGACGGCTTGCAGTGCCCTGTTCCAAATTAACACTAATTACAAGGGACGGCTTTTGATTTTCTCTCTTTTTTTTTTTTTTTTTTCTCTCTTTAATTTTTCGGGGGGCTCCCCACCCCCCCACTTGCAGATGTGTAGCTCCTCCCGCAGCCGTGCTGGGTGGAGATGCCGGCAGGGCACAGCAGGATGCATCCCCTGGGAGCGAGGCTGGGCACCCCCCCATTGCTGTGTCCCACCTCCCGCCCGGGTTCGGTGTGGGTGGCATGGCTGAGATCAGAGCAGCTTGGCGCACCTCCTGCCCGACCTCCCAGCCTGCTGGGAATGGGATGGGCGTCCTGTTTTCCCCCCCGTGACACCCACCCTCCCTGTGTCCTCGTCCCCTCGCCCTGGGTGCTGCTATCCCCTCTGACACACACACAAAAGCCGTGGCCATGTCCCCCCCCTCCCTGTCCCTGGCACAACCTCCATCCCAACTGGCATCTGATGGACACCAGCTGCTCCCTGGCCCAGCCAGAAACAATAAAGATGCTTTGCCCTCCCCGTTCCCAAAAAGCAGGGAAAAAAAAACCCCAAAACACCAACCCATATAATAAGTCATTAAAAGGGAAGATTCTGCTCCTTATTTGCGGTCTCGCTCCGGCCTCCTCAGTGCTGGCTGGGGGCCAGGCCCGCCGGGGCCCCCGCCTCTTGCTGAGGAAGCGTCCTGGTGCAGATGAATCCTCAGCCCCTCCAGCTTCCCTGGGGCTGGGCAGGAGCTGGCACTGCCTTGGGGTGTACCCGATGCTGGGCACCCCGGGGTACCCCTGCTGGGTGGCACTGGGATGGGGGCTGCACACAGCATCCCTCCTGGCCTGGGCAGGGCATTGGGAGCAGTGCAGCTGAGTGCTGCACTTGGAGGGTGTCTCAGGAACCACTTCCCCCCCCTCCTCTGGGCTGTGTCATCCCCCACTTTGCTGTGCCAGGAGGGATGGGAGCCTCTCATTCAAAGGGGATGGGGACAACTGTCCCGGGATGGTGCTCAGCCACGCGAAAGACCATGCAGGGTTTGGTCCCAGCCCCAGCCACGCTGGCTGGGAGGGGATTCCTCTTCCACGCCGAGGCAGCCGCAAATGAAGTCGGCGGCTTCTCCCGGAAACCTTGGCCCTGCTGTGCTTGGAGCTCTCCTGCTGCCATCAAGGGACAGATCCCAGAGCCTTGGCAGGGCAGAGTGACGTCCCAAGCACCGTCTCCCTCCCCTGTCCCCAAACTCCTCTAGGGACAGCCTACACCTGGCAGGCACTTGGGGGTGCCTTCCTCTCCCTACACCCATTCCCTGGTCAAAACGCTGCCTGCCTTGGAGTGCCAGGGAGCAGCTGGGATGGGATGGGATGGGATGGGGTGTCCCCAGTTTCACTTGCTGCATCAGGGGCTGGTTTGGGGCATTTGCAGCACCCACAACAGTGCACAGGTGGACATCCCCTCTGCTTCACCAACCATCTCTCTGTGGGGTTTTTGTGGGGAAAGCAAAGCCAACAAGCTGTTCTGGGACTGAAAACAGCCATGTTGGTGGGAAGAGGGATGCCTGGTCCAGTGTGTCCTGAGGTGCTCTCTGTCTGGGTCCCCTGGGTGTGAGCACCCAGAGGACGCAGCAGTTGGGAAACCCCACATCAAGAAGTCCTGCTGGGTTAACATGGCACCATCTGATGTTGTGGTGCCTTGCTCCTGCCCCTCCCATTCCCTAGGCATCCTGATGGGCAGGACGAATTGGTGGGATGGGGGTTCTGCCAGCCCTGGCACTGACAGGACACATTATGGTCCCCTCCACAGCGGGCAGCCGGGTGAGCCAGGAGCTGCGCTACACCAAGGAGAAGCTGGGCGAGGAATCTGTCTACACCTCCCAGATGTTGATCCAGACCCCGAAGAGGGATGGGGACAATATCCTGACGCAGGAGGCCCTGCAGCTCCACCTCGAGGCAGCCCTGGCAGCCAGCAAGGTCCAGGTCTCACTGTACGGAAAGTGAGTCCAGCTCCAGATGGGGGACGGGGATCCCCACTGTGCCCTGCATGTCCCACCAGCCCTTGCCATGTCCCCTATTGGATTCTGCCCGTTCTCAGCTCTTCCTTCTGCCTTTCCAGATCGTGGGATTTGAACAAGATTTGCTACAAGTCAGGTGTCCCCATCATTGAGAATGGCATGATAGAGAGGGTAAGTGCTGGTCATGGCATGGCCCCTGGGAGCCCCCAACAGGAGATTAGTCCCTTGGAGAATGGCAGGGGATGGGCTGTGGTGGGGACAGGGCTGGTGCTGCAAAGGCACTGGTGGCTGCATGAGGGAAGGTGCAGGTTTGGGAAGCCCAGCAGTGCTGGGGGGAGATTGGGAGATCTAATCCATCCCTGCTGACCCCTCGCATCTCCTTCTCCCACAGATGATAGAGAAGCTGTTCCCCTGCGTGATCCTGACACCACTGGACTGCTTCTGGGAAGGCTCCAAGCTGCAGGGAGGCTCAGCCTATCTCCCGTGAGTTTGTGTGGGGGAGTGTCCTAGGTGTGGGTGGCCATGGGTGAGAACAGGAGCTGGGGGTGCTGCCAAGGGGCTGTACTTGACCTTCCTTTGCAACTTGACCCTGCCTGCTCCACGGTGCCCCAGTGCTGCTGCAGCTTGTCCTGCTCAGCCCCAGGAGGGTCCCACCAACATTGCTGTCCTGCTGGGTCAACACCCTGGGGACGGGTCCCTGTTCTTGCCTGCCTGGCCTCGGTGGCACGGGCAGGGCTGCACCACCATGGCAGGGGGGCTGCAGCCCTCAGGCAGGATCTGGCTTGTCCCTGCCATGCCATGCTGTCCCCCCAGCCAGGGATGGGGACAGTAGCTGTGCCGCAGGCAGGTCCTTGAGGCTGCTCCACCGCCCCAGACCCCTTCATGGGCACCACGGTGGTGAGGAGGCACCCACACTCCTGAGCTGTGCCAAGGGGCACGGAGGAGGCAGAGTCCCTGGGTGGGTGGCAGGTGACTCCCAGCCAGCTCCTCGCACCGCGGTGGTGGGGCTGGGGACCCCGGGCTGGGCCAGGGGAGCCCCCCCCCACATTCCTTCTGTTTACGCGTGTGTTTGTCCGGGAGAGCTGGGGCGGCTTGTGCATTGTCAGCAAACGCAGCCCCGCGCTTTCTCATGCTAATGTTGCTCTGAAAGCTGCCCCTTGCCAAACAGATGAAATAGTGGCCTTATTCAGGCTGCTGCGGACGGGAGGAGGGGGAAGGGGCCGCAGCATCCCCAGCCAGGACTAGGGGGCCGGTTTTGGACCCCTCCCCAGGACCTCAGGTTCTCCCCATCCCAGCCTGCGGAGCTGCTGGGAGCAGGAGCAAGTGGGACTGGGGTGGCTGTGTCAATCAGGATGCTGGTGACATCACCTGCCATGGTGGGCAGCATCCTGGGGCTGGGGTACACGGCAGGCAGGGTGGCACCCGCAGCAGCGATGGGACTCATCTCTCCTCGCAGCTGAGTGGGTGCCCAGGCAGGCACCCTGGCTGAGCGCCGGCCAGCCCATGGGGACTCGTCCCCCTTTTTAACGCCGAGGGGTGAGCGGGGCGGGAGCTGGGAGAACAAAGAGCAGCAATCTATGGAAAGACAAAAGGATTTGCCCTGGCTCAGTGAAGCAAGCGAAAGCAGATAAAAGGGGCTCTCTTTGGAAGCAGCAGCAGCTCCGGTTGGTATGTGGGAATCTCGAGCGGCCAGCTCTGGCCCAGCCAGCCTTCATGAATTATTAGGCTGTGTTTCTCCCCAGAGCCCACACTTGCTTGGGGCTTTTTCTTCCCCTCTTTGGAGCGCTGGGCTGGGTTACTGGCTTTTTTGTGTGTCTTTTCTGTCTTAAAAAAGAAGCTGAGTGAGGCTGGAAGCTGGCCCCCAGCTCCCCGGGCTGGGGTGGAGGGAGCAGAGCATCTGCAGGCAATGGGAAAAACCCTTTTCCTGGGTACCCAAGTCCCGTGGGGTCCTGCTGGACCTCCAAGCACCTGGTCCATGCCTAGTTCCCAGCACTGTCCTGAGCCTCCAGAACCTCTGCTGAGCCCCAAGCTCTCCAGCCTGGGGGGAGATGGCAGGAAAGGCTGTAGGGTGTACTGGGAGCTCTTGCCTGCGTGCTCCCCTCTATCAAGATGTTAGCCCACGGGCAGTAATCGGCCTGACTGCTCACACAAAGCGGGGCCAGGCAGCAGGGCCGGCTCCCCCCGCTTTGTGCCGGACTAACAGGATCAGGCACGCTACTTGACTCAGGGCATGGCCCGCTGCGCCGCACAGGGCACGGGGGATGCCGCAGGAGCCCCGGCAGGGGGTAAGGGATGTGCTGGGGACTGATGCTGCTCCTCTGTATCCTCGCACCCTGCCTTTGAGGGCACCCCCAGGACCCGTGGGATGGGTTGGCAGTGGTGGTGGTGGTGGTACTGCGCGTGGGTTTTGGCATCCCGCATCACCCCAGTCCTGCTCTCTGCCCAGGGGCCGCCCCGACATCCAGTGGAGCAACCTCGACCCTCTGCAGTTGATGGAGGAGCTGGGGCAGTTCACATCCCTGGAAGGCTTCAAAGAGCTGCTGGACAAGGCAGAGGTGGGGCAGGCTTACATGGAGCGGCCCTGTCTGGACCCCCGGGACCCCCAATGCCCCCTCAGTGCCCCCAACAAGCAGAGCCAGCAGGTGGGTCACAGTCCATGAGGACCAGGAATGGTGTGGGGGTTACTGCTCTCCTGCCTGCCCCACGATCCTAACACCTCCCTTCACCTGCAGAACCCCGACATCCCGGCTGAACTCTCAGGGGGCTGCCATGGCTTCTCCAGGAAGTTCATGCGCTGGCAGCAGGAGCTGATTTTAGGCGGCACGACCAAAGACTCCCAGGGCAAGCTGCTACGGTGAGAGCTGCTGCAGTGTGGGCATCCCCAGGCACAGTGCAGGAAACCTGCCCTGGCTGCCAGAGGGGCTGTGGGGATGTCTGGGAGGTTGGTGAGTGCGTGGGGCTAGTGAACAGGGCAGCACTTTGGAGCAAGGGGAGGCAACGGGGCAGGATGCCTGGGTCCTCTCCTGGGTGCCTGCAGTGGGGCTGAGTGCTCTGGGGTGGGGGATGGACCCATTCCTGCATCCTGGGGCACTGCAGCCGGTCCCAGCGAGGTGCGTGCCTGTTCCTCAGCGCCGAGGCCCTGCAGACCATGTTCCTCCTCATGAGCCCTCGGCAGCTCTATGAGCACTTCAAGGATGACTACGAGATCCATGACATCAGCTGGAGTGAGGAGAAGGCAGGAGCAATCCTGGAGGCCTGGCAGAGGAAATTTGTGGAGGTAGGCATCGGGAACAACCCCCACATGGGGCTTGTGCAGGGATGAGCCTGTGCATGGCATCCTCCTGTGCCCTGGTTTTCTTGTGGCCACGGGTCCTGGAACTACTCTCTTGTGGTCCAGTGAATGGCTCTGGGGTGGTTGTACTTCAGAGTGGGGGGGGTCCTCACTCCTCTAACGGGGTGCACTTCCTGCAGCTGGCACAGGACTCCATCCCTCCCAACGCCACACAGAGCGTCCACGCTTTCTCCACCACCACGCTCAACGACATCATGAAGTCCTTCTCTGACGTCAGTGCCATCCGGGTGGCCGGGGGCTACCTCCTCATGGTGCGTGTGTCCCTTCTCTCTGTCCTCCGCCATCCCTCTGTCGCCCCCCCGTTCCCACTAACCCACTGTGCTCTTCCAGCTGGCCTATGCCTGTGTCACCATGCTGCGGTGGGACTGCTCCAAGTCCCAGGGGGCCGTGGGCCTGGCTGGGGTCCTGCTTGTGGCTCTCTCCGTCGCCTCTGGCCTGGGGCTTTGCTCACTGCTGGGCATCTCCTTCAATGCAGCCACCACCCAGGTACGTGCTGGGGGAAAAGCCTGCAGGGTGGGTGGGACCCTGGGGGCTGTGGGGTGGCTGGGTCCCCTCACAGGTGGTGACCGTGTCTGTCTACTGACACTGACTGCTCTATGGCAGGTCCTGCCGTTCCTGGCCCTTGGCATTGGGGTGGATGACATGTTCCTCTTGGCTCATGCCTTCACTGAGACCAGCCAGCATGTCCCCTTCAAGGTGAGCACTGAGCACTGCCCGGGGGCTCCTCAGCCCCCTCCCAGCTCCCCGTGGCCCCTCTCATCACCCCCTCTTTCTGTCCCCGCAGGAGCGGACGGGTGAGTGTCTGAAACGCATGGGGACCAGCGTGGCTCTCACCTCCGTCAGCAACATGATCGCCTTCTTCATGGCAGCCCTGGTGCCCATCCCTGCCCTGCGTGCCTTCTCCCTCCAGGTAGGCCCACAGTCCATCTCTGGGGGATGGGAAGGGCTGGCCAGACCCGGCTCTGATGTGTGTCTCCCACTTCCTCTGCAGGCTGCAGTGGTTGTGGTGTTCAACTTCGCCATGGTGCTGTTTGTGTTCCCCGCTATCCTGAGCCTGGACCTGCACCGCCGGGAGAAACGCCGGCTCGACATCCTCTGCTGCTTCTATAGGTACTGCTGCTGGGCTGGCTGGGATGGGGCTGACCCTGCAGTTCCCCCAAGAAGCATGGGGTGGCTAAACGTCTTCTCATCCTTCCCTGTCTCCTCCTTTACTCTCCCCACAGCCCTTGCTCTTCACGGGTTATCCAGATTCAGCCGCAAGAGCTTGCTGACGCCAACGACAACCACGCCTGCCACCCGTCCCCTTATGGGCATCCCGGCGTGGCCACCAGCACCCAGATCACCACCACCGTGCAAGCCTTCACCCGGTGCGACCCCTCAGGCCACCACATCGTCACCGTCCTGCCGCCCACCTCCCAGGTGTGCACCTCGCCTGCCGTCCTCCTGCCCCCCAGCGACCCCCTGGGCTCTCAGGTCTTCGCCCCATCCAGCTCCACCCGGGATCTGCTGGCCCAGCTGGATGAGGCCAAGGGTAGGCGGGAGTGCGTCCCCCTGCCCTTCTGCCGCTGGAGCCTCGCTGACTTCGCCCGTGAGAAGTACGCCCCGCTCCTCCTGCGGACCCGGACCAAGGTGAGGTGGAGGCGGCCCTGGTGGTGCCACCCAAGGTGGGTGGGTGGCACAGGACCCTGCCTGACCCCCCGCTGTCCCCACAGGCGGTAGTGGTGGTGCTGTTCCTGGCACTGCTGGGGCTGAGCCTCTACGGCACCACCATGGTGCACGATGGCCTCTACCTGACGGACATCGTGCCACGGGACACCAAGGCCCACGCCTTCATCTCGGCCCAGTTCAAGTACTTCTCCTTCTACAACATGTTCATTGTCACCAAGGGTGGCTTCCACTACCCGGGTGCCCAAGCTGCCCTGCTGAGCCTGCACCAGGCCTTCAGCACCGTCAAATATGTGGTGCGGGAGGGAAACCGCGACCTGCCCAAGATGTGGCTCCATTACTTCCAGGACTGGCTGCGAGGTGAGGGACATGTCTCTTCTCCATGATCTCCCCTGTCCAACCACCCTCTCCCCAGCCTTCATCCTTCCTGCTGACCTGGGAATGCCTTTTCTGGTGTACAGCACCCTGGGTAGTCACAAAGTGCCCGGCACTGTAAGCTGAGCCTTGGGGTTTCTGTGCACCCATCCCGCTGGCACCATGCTCCCTGGGTCACATGGGGTGGTGTGCAGGATGGTGTGTCCCCAGGGATGCTGAGCCCCCGTGCTGCATCCCCAGGGCTTCAGGCCACCTTCGACAGGGACTGGCAGGCCGGGCGCATCACCCATGACAGCTACCGCAACGGCTCCGAGGACGGGGCGCTGGCATACAAACTGCTAATCCAGACCGGCAACAAGAAGGAGCCCTTCAACTTCAATCAGGTGCGTGGGGACAGGGATGGGGTGAGTGGGCTGGGGACAGCTCTGCGCCTGCTGCCTAGCTCATGCCCTCTCCTGTCTCTCCCGTAGCTGACCACGCGGCGGCTGGTGGATGAGAATGGCATCATCCCCCCTGACACCTTCTATATCTGCCTGACTGTGTGGGCCAGCAACGACCCCCTGGGCTTTGCCGCCTCACAGGCCAACTTCTACCCCCCACCACCTGAGTGGATTCATGACAAGTACGACACCACGGGCGAGAACCTGCGAAGTGAGTGAGCACAGACCCACACCTTTTTGCCCTGAAGGAAAACCCCCCACGTCCCCCATGCCATCTGATAAACTGCCTTGCTTCTCAGTGCCCCAACCTTGTCCCCCTGCACTCCACACCGTGAGCAGCCCTCTCTGCACTCCCTGTGCTCTTAGCACACAGCAACGCACCCCTGCTCCAGCTCATGAGCATCTCACTGCAAAAAAGCCCCTCAATGCCCTTTCTGCTCCGTGTGACCCACTACCCAACAAGCATCCTGCTGGCAGGAAAACCCCCTCCTCCTTGCCCTCAGTCTGCTCCCCACACACTCCAAACAGCCATGGTACCGAGCCAGGCATCAGGCTACCCAGGCTGCGCTCAGACTGGTGTGACTGTGGTGCTCTCATGTGGTGCTGTAGCCCTATACTGCTGTACCCTCACACTGCCCGTTCTCTCCCCAGTCCCAGCAGCCCAGCCGCTGGAGTTCGCCCAGTTCCCTTTCTACCTGAGTGGGCTGCGTCGCACGTCCGACTTCGTGGAGGCGATTGAGAGCGTGCGGGCCATCTGCCGGGAGGCCGCCCAGCGCCACGGCGTGCTCAGCTACCCCAGCGGGTACCCCTTCCTCTTCTGGGAGCAGTACATCGGCCTGCGGCACTGGTTCCTGCTGGCCATCAGCATCCTGCTGGCCTGCACCTTCCTCGTCTGCGCCCTGCTGCTGCTCAACCCCTGGACAGCTGGCATCATCGTGAGTACGCACCCTGATGCACGGGGACGGTCCTGATGGGTGGGGTCAGGGGCATCCAGCCTTTCTCCCCTGTCCTGCTGAGTGGCCCTGGGTACCTGTGTCATGGGAATCTGGGCGATGGGGTGGCCAGGGGCACCGTGGGGAGGAAGGGACACCCATATAAGGGTGGCAGTGGGTGGGGGACTCCTGTGTGGGAGGGATCAGTTACATCGCTGATGAAGGGAACATATGGAGGGCACACCTGGGGACATCCATGAAGAAAGGGGTGATGGAAACACCCATATGGAGGTGGCAGTGAGTGGGGGACCAATATGGAGGGATTAGGGACACCTCTTAGGAAGGGAAGGTGTGTAGTGGGCAGGGGTTTAAGGATATTCGTGCAGAGCACGGTGAGGGCCACCCCCAATAGGTGGGACAGACAGACACTCCAAATAGGGGCTGGCTGGGATAGAAATACAGAGGGAACCCAAATAGAGGGAAAAGGGTCAGTGAGGTGAAGCTGCCCTATATGGAGGAGTAGCATCAAGCTTACCAGGCAGAGCAGACAGCCAGTCAGAGCCACCCCTGACTGACCCCACCACCCCCCAGGTCTCCATCCTGGCCATGATGGCTGTGGAACTGTTTGGCATCATGGGGCTGATGGGCATCAAGCTGAGCGCCATCCCAGTGGTCATCCTCATCGCCTCGGTGGGCATCGGTGTGGAGTTCACTGTTCACGTGGCCCTGGTGAGTACAGTTCCCACGCCCTGGCACCCTCACCCCCTTGGCCATATTCCAATGGGTGGCACACCATGGGTGGCACACAGGGACAAGCCCCGTGTGACATCCCCATCCCACTCAGGGCTTCCTGACAGCTGTGGGGAGCAGGAACGTGCGCTCGGCCGCGGCGCTGGAACACACCTTTGCCCCCGTGATGGATGGTGCTGTCTCCACCCTCCTGGGTGTCCTCATGCTGGCCGGCTCCGAGTTTGACTTCATCATAAGGTGAGCACTGAAGGAGGGTAAACCAGCCACTTGCTGCCCTCCAAAAGCTTTGGCAAAGGGAGCTGTTGAGTGTGGCAGTTCCTCAGGCTGACGGTGGGGATGTGTGGCAGCTGGTGAGGATGTGTCTTGCTGGGGACACCCGTTCCGTCTTGCATGGAGGCTGGGAGGATGTGGCATGGGAAGCCAGGTTTGGGGTGGGATGTGATTCATAATGGCTGTGCCTGCTTACCCCTCTGCCTGTGGCCCCCCAGGTACTTCTTTGCGGTGCTGACCATCCTGACACTGCTGGGGCTGCTCAACGGGCTGGTGCTGCTGCCCGTCCTGCTCTCGGTCGTCGGGCCACCCCCTGAGGTACAAGACCCCCCACCCTGCCTATCCCTGGCCCTCCCCAACCCTGTACCTACCTCTTTCCATGCCCCATTGCCCCTCACCCTGTCCCCCCTTCACCCTATACCCATGCTTGTTTTTTCCAGTCCCAACCTTGTGTCCTACCCACCTGAGTCCTTCCATCACCCTGTACCATCCCTCCTTTACCTCATCTTTTCTCTGACCCATATTTAATTTACCCCTACCTAACTCCATTCCTCCCTCACCCCACACTCAACTTTCCCCATCTCTCCCTGACCCATTTTATCCCATCCCTGCTTCACCTGGGATCACCTGCATCCCCATCCTTGCATCAACCTAATACTCTGGTTCTCCACATTCTTCCATGGTTGTATGTCCCCGGCCCCTCCAACACTCTCTTCTCTCCTCAGGCATCCCTAGTGGATAATGGCTCCTGCCTAACCCCACCAGAGTCGGTGCCCCCATGCCTGGGCCCTGGGGGGCTGTATGTCCGGCGCTCTCCAGCCTGGCCTGCCACCTTCCCTGAGCCCTCGGACACGGAGCACTACACGGAGGGTGTGGGGCCAGGCAACCCCCGAGGACCCTTCATTGTGCCCCCCACCCCAGCACACATCCTTCTGGAGGCTGGCAAGGACCCCAGCTTCCCCCGCATCACCGTGAGTATCTCTACCCATCATGGCATCGCTGGCTCCCCTGTATTCCCTGGGAGAGGGTCATGGATAGAGCTGAAGGATGGGTGCCCATGGGGTCCCCTGTGGTGCTGGTGGAGGGATGCTCAGTATGACTGGGGACCCTCATGCTTCATGTTCCCCCTCCAGGTGCTGAAGCCCTACAAGGACAGCCTGGAGGTTCAGGGGAAGAAGGAGGCTTCTGGCCCGCAGCCCGCACCCACCCTGCCCTTTGGGGAGCCATGCCCCACACTGGCCCGGGAACACCTGCAGCCCTGCCCGCCAGGCACCCGGCCAGCCCCCGCTGCAGCCCTGCCCACCTACAGCACCCACCTGCAGGGTCCTGCTGGCAGCTACACCACCGTCACGGCCACCGCGTCGGTGACGGTGGCCCTGCACCCCACACTGCCTGGTTCCTACCCCAGCTTCAGCCCCGAGGGCTTCGCCAGCGGCGAGCGGGACTGCCTGGACGAGCCCAGCGTGCCCAGTACCAGTGGCACCGCCGTGCCCGATGCCTTTGAGATGCAGAGCATGGGACACCACGGGGCAGGTGCCCAGCGCTAGGTGAGCATGGGGACACCCTTCCCTGGGACTGGTGCGTGGCAGAGTGGGGGTGCGAGGTGTGTGTGGAGGGACCCAGCTGACCCCCCCAAATCTCTCTCTCTCTCTCTCTCTGCAGGTTGCTGGTTCCTGGGTAGAGCATCTCCCCAGCACCCGGTGGGCACACAGGAGGGTGCAGAGCGGGGTCGCCCACATTGTGCTGCTAATGGCCGGAGCGATCTCGGCCGAGGAGGACCGGCCCCCCTGCACCCTGCAACGGGGCTTGGTAGGGCAGGCTGGCACTTCTATGCAAGCTGTGTGCAGGCCACGCCATGCCCGCGTGTCCCTCACCCGAGGCTGTGCCGTTGGTGCCATGTCCTGTCACCCAGGGTTTGGGGTTATCCTGCCCTGGGCTTGTTGCCCCCCAGAAATGGAAGCACTAACTCCCCCCCTCTGTTTCTGGAGCTGCTGGCAAGGTGGACTTGGTGCCATGCCAGCTCCCCCTCTGTGGGGTCACTGCTTGCTCCCTATCACCTCCTCCTGGGACCACCCATCCCAGGCCATGAGCTGGGGTACCCCAACAGGGTGCCCTGATGCCCCCCGTCCTGATAAGGGGGCAGTCCCAGAGCCAGCTGTGCCCTGGCATGCCACAGGCAAGGCCTGGGGCGGGCACCCCCCACCTTTATTTATTGCAAAGGGAAACTATCTATAGAGAGATATATATTTTTAAGCTTATTTTAAAAGATTTATTTCTCAGCCTACAGCCTTGCCCCGCTGCCCAGAGTGCAGGCAGGGAGTGGGCAGACCCTTTGCCAGTGCAGGGCTGCCCAGTGGAGGCAGCAGGAGCCCAGGGGTGCAGACCTGGTTCATGCCCCCACTCCATGGGCAGCTCACCCCTTCCGATGCGCTACTCCGTGCCTCAGTTTCCCCAGTGGCAAGCATGGGAGGGCTGGACATCGTGGATGTGCCACGGTGGAGAAAGGGAGCCTGTTGCTCCCCACTGCACAGGCAGGATTTTGGAAGGGGGAGATCCTTGGACTGGTCCTTGCTGTGCCAAGCCCCTGAGCTGTCCCACGATCAGAGCCCCTCGTGCCACACCCAGTGCTCTGCCCAGGTGACGGCACGTGCTGGAGCACGCACAGGACAGTGCATGCTGACGTGGGCTCCCACGGTGCCACCGGGCACATCTTGCTGGGAAACCATATTTCTCACCGTGTCCCCATTGCAACGGGGCTGTCCCTGCAGCCAGCCCCTGCCCCCATCCCCACCCCGGGCACCGTCCGCGCCCTCACCCAGCACTTTAACTCCAGCGGTGTTTGCCGTGCCTGCAGCCCCAGCCCCCCCGGCCCCCAGACACTGCCGCTGAGCAGGGGTGGCCTCGGGGACCCTGTCCCCGTGCCAGGCGTGGGCACGGCGGGCAGCCTCCCCCCAACACGCCATCTAAGTTATTTATATCAAAGAGAGCAAAGGTTTATTTTTGTAGTTTGTACAGGCGGTAGTGGGGACCGAAGGTTTATTTTTAAAGAGTAAATATATATATTATATATAAATTACCTGCTGTGTCCGACCCTTTCTCCTGGCGGGTACAGCTGGAGTGGGGGTTTGTGTGCTTGAGACAGACCCAGCTGTGTGTGCACACGCAACATGGGGCGCAAGGGGGGTTGCACACTGTGTGTGTGTGTGGCAGATGGGGGGCTGGCAGCCTGTGTCAGTGTGTATGGGGGTGTGTGTGTGTGGCCTGCTGGCAGGGCTTGCACGGAGTTCAGGGGGATGGGAGCCTGTGGTGCTGTGCAGAGATGCCCGTGCTGCCTTTCCAGCTTGTCCCCCTCCCAAGCCCCGGGGGTGCCCGTGTCCCTGCCCAGGCAGGGGCTGGAGCTCTCTCGCTGCACCATGGCCCCGCTGCCGGGGGAGGGCAGCACGGCCCCGGGGAAGGGAGAGCTCACCCTGGGTCCCCATCCCGCAGGGACCCCTGCAGCCCTGCCACCCCTTGGCCACTGCATAGGCTGCCTGCCTGCCCTTGTACCCATCCCATAGCCCAGCTCCACCCTGCCCCCAGTCCCTGCATCCCTTTCTGGGGTGACCTTGGCATCCTGCCCTGGCCCGGATGCCGAGGCACAAGACAAAGCCACCTTATTGATGCTCTTGGCCGTGGCAGCATCGGTGCCCAGCCCCACAGCCTGCCCTGCTGCAGAACCCCTGGCTGGGCTGGATAAATCTCGTTTCCCAGCCCCTACTTGGTGTGTGGCTCGAGGTGGCGGTGATGGTCACGGGGCCGTGTGCCGCGGCGGGGCCGGCAGAGGCGGGAGGGCACCCCACTACCCTTCCTCAGCGCGTGGGCACGCCAGGCCGCCGCGATGCTCTCCACCTGTGGGGATGGGGAGAGGGACGGGGGCATTAAAACCCAAACCCCACCCTGCAGCATCCTCTAGCCCCGGAGTTGAGCCAGGATACCCCCCCAAGAACTGGCAGCAGCTCACCGGGATGAGCAGATCCCGCTGGTTGTGGCTCTCCAGTGTCACCAGTTCGCTGGGTGCCAGCAAGGGCAGACGCAGCTCCCGCACGGGCAGAGCAGCCACCTCAGGCACCGGCCGCTCCAGGACAGCCTGACAACAGCAGTGTGTGAGGGATAGGAATGGTGATGTCCTGGGCAGTGGGGAAGGCAGGGGCTTGGGGGTGAGTGACACAGCTGCTGTGTCCATCACACAGCCCTGGGACAGGGTGCCTGGGTTCCCAGCGTGGGCACCCCTGGGTGGTTGCTGCTGCATTACACTCACCGAGCTGACGTGTGCCCACTCCCGCACAGCCTGCACCAGGTCCAGCTCGTCCACGGCCAGGCGGTCGCTGCGCAGCACCCGCGTCAGCACCACATCGGAGAGCTCACGGAAGCCCTGTGTCCGCACCACTGCCTGCCAGCACAGCACAGCACCGGGGCACTGGAACCACGACCCCACAGAACCACCACCCCCCGGCAATGGGCCATCCAACCCACCCTGGTGCCATCCCTGCCTAGCACCCCAGCATCCCCCCACTCAGATCCTCAATGCCCTGGCACCCCAGTACCCACAGCGTGCCTCTGCCTGACACCCAGCATCTTCTCTCCAAATACCACTTGCTCCTTTTCCCAGCCTCCAGGCACCCCATTCTTAGGGGCCCTGCTCCCTTGCCTCATGCTGTGTCCCACAGTGTTCTCCATGCCACGTGCCCCCCACGCCCTGGGGCACCCTGCACCATGCTCCCCCATCACCTGGCGCCGTACCGCGGTGCAGCCCTCGATGAAGGCCAGGCAGTGCTGCTGGAGGTCTGTCTGCCCATAGGCCACCGCCGCCTGTGGGACAACACAGACACCTGCAAGTGAGCCTGGGGAAGGAGGGACCCCCCCTCAAAGCCCTACAGAGACATGGGCACTCTCAGGGACCCAGGTGAGGTGAACATCCTTGTGTGTGGGTATCATGGTGATGGTGTGGGGAGGAAGGGCACCTTCTGGCCTGACCCACGGCAAAGGTTTTTTTTGGTGGCTCTAACGCCCACAATGGTCATTCAGCCCCAGCATCAGCAGGAGACCTTATTTTCCACTGCTGCTCAGGAACATCACCCAGCCCACAGTGGGGGAGAAGCCCTGGTGTTGCTCTCACAAGGTCACTCTGTGGGCACGTGGGACCACCAGTCCCCAGTGCCCTGTTGCCAGCTTGACCCATAGATGCCATCCCCTACTGCAGCAGGAATTTGGGGTGCTCTCATTCCCCCCAGCCCTACCGAGCAGTGCTTGTCCCAGGGCTGGCACTGCCCTGGGCAGCAGGAGGGCACATCCCCTGTGTGCAGGGTATTCGGGACCAGCACAGGCAGGGTGAACATCACCTCCCCCTCCACCACAGCAGGGGACCAGCACTGACGCAAGAGGGGAGGGAAGACGAGCTGTTTTCTTCAGGTTTGTTTTGTTCTGGGGTTTTGGGGTTTCTTGTTTTGTTTCCTCCAGGCCAGTTTTAGCTCTGTTTATGCCGCGGTGGTCTGGCATCACATCTGGCTGGAGCTCTGTGCTCTGGGGCAGGCACCTCACCCCTAGAGGATCCCTTCAGCTTGTGGGAGATGAAACAAATCCCCTTCCTCTGGGGAACAGCCTTGGTCCCACCAAGTAGCACGGCAGAGCCATCAGGACCTCCCTGAGGCTGTTTTTAGGTGCCGGAACTCTCAGCAGGGGTTTTGGGACTGGCTCCCAGAAACCCAGTGCCTCCCCATTTCATGCAGATGATGGCAAGGCCCTGGCACTGGGGAGTTCTGGCCATCCTTGCTCAGGGTAGTGTGAGGACATTTCTCTGGCAGGCTCTGGTGGCCCCAGTGTCTCTTGCAGCCCTGGTACAACGTGCCGGCAGGGCAGCTTATGGACCAAAGCTGGGTAGATGGTGGTAGCCCCACCATCCAGACAAGAGCTGGAGGGTCAGGCCTGCTCCTGCCCCAAATTTTATGGCTATTTTTAACCCTTTTTGACACTACTGGTGTCACTCTTACCTGCAGGGCCTCGCAGACCTGCTCCACACTCAGCGTGTCCTTGATGAACTTGACGCAGAGCTGGAAGGTAGACAGGGAGAGGTTGGGCAGAGCAGGGACCCAACCCTGACATCCCCACGTGCAACTCTCAGCATCCCCTGAGTCCCTAGGACATGGGTCACAGGGCAGAGGCACTTTCAGGCCCCCCAGGGTTTCGTAAGATAGCAGTGGGCTGAGGGATGAGGTCTCACAGCATGGCTGTTGGCAGTCAGTTCAGCCACTGATTAAGCCAGGGGCCAAGCTTGATTTGACCAAACCCAGCCAGCCTGATAGCCCCAGGTGGGTCCCATTACCCTGTCAACAAACAACAGCCATGTTCTGCCACAGGGAACAATCCTGGTGCCAGGTGCAGTGCATTGGGTGATCCCAGCTTTGACTCAGCCCTGCCTGCCAGCTGTGCTCTGCCTGTGACTGCTGGGGGACTCCTCCTGCATCCCACACGAGTGATGCAGGCTGGATGCAGCCAGACCTGCACAATTATTGGTAAGTGGGACCTCACTCCTGCCCATCTCAGCTGCTTGGCAGAGTCCCTGGGAAACCCAAGGGGATGTCACATGCAGGGAGGAGTCAGCTGGGGCAGAAGGGCCCTGAGTCATTGGCAGGCAGGACATGAGGTCACCCTGCATCTGGGGATACAGTCACAGGCTTCCGAGCTATCCTTGGTCAGCCCCCTTTCCTCCCACCCCTCCTCATGCCTCTCCCCACTGCAGGTCATCACCCCTGAGGATGCATTTTCTGGGTGATGGGGTGTGACTTGTGTGGCTGGAGCACTGGGTCCCCCTTTTTTTCAACACCCCTTAAGCTGTTTGATAGCTCTGTACCACATCTGAGCTTTGGCCCCACGGGGTGATGGGGCAGGTCCCATCCCACCACCCTGGCAACACAGTAGCCTGTGGTTCCTCAGCTCCTGAGGTGCTTCCCCAGCGTGGTGGGAAGGGAGGGGAAGTCCTGGCCCGAGACAGCAGGTCACGCGTTCAGCCCGCTGTAATTCAGGAATCAGCCTGATGACGTGGCCTGGCCACCCTCCCCAACACCGAGCTGCTCCAGCTCCCTGCCCCCTCCTCTTTGCTCCCTGCTGTCCTCCCAAAACCTTCCCACCCAAAGCAGCATCCCCTTGGCAGCACCACAGCCGGGATGCTGACTGCTCCCAGGGGTCGGGGCTTTCTTTACTGCACCACTCTGCCAAACGACCAGAGAGAAATCATGGGCAACAGCACAGGGGCTTTCCTGCTGCTCTTTGCTGTGTGGGAGACGTGAAATCCCATGGCCTTCCCCATGATTTCCCAGGATTCCCCTGTGGGATTTCTGGACAGTGGTGCACCCCCTCAAGGGAGATCCCCATGCAGAGACCTTCCAGGATCGAGAAGCAGGACTGAGCCTGCGTTGGACCTGAGTGATGCACCACAGTGCTTTCCTCAGAGCCACCTTCAGCCACCAGCCGTGCAGGGACCATCTTGGGGTGCTCCCCAGCCTGGGGACACTCAGAGACCACCACCCCCAGTCTAAACAGGGCCATACCTTGCACAGGTCCTGCAAGCCGTACTCCACCGATGAGGTCAGCACCTCCAGTGCCTGCAGGCAAAAGGGATCTTGTGAGAATCAAGAGTGCAGGGCCATGGATGGGCACGGCAGCCCAAGGGCTTGTATGCTCCTGCCTCCCAGGTGGAGTATGGGGGGTAAGGCTGCCACATGCAGGCAAATTTAAGTCTCCTGCTGTGGTGTCCCCATTCCCAGCATCCAGGGTGTGCACAGCCAGCTGATCCAAGGCTGGGACAAGGTGCTCTGGACACCCCACTGCGCTGGGCTGAGACCCCACACACTCACTGCACTGTTAGCCAGCCAGAAAGCACCATGCAGATCATCTCCTCCAACTTTGGCACACCAAGGCCTGCAAAGCACCCCCTACTCCTGCATCCCCCCTTGTCCCTCCCATGTCCCCACCAGCCCCATCCCCACTCACGATGTGGCTGTTGAGCGTGACA